TTCTTGAAGATATAATATTCTAAAAATAGGAAAAATAACCAATCAGAAAATTGTTAATTAAATTTATATATAATTTGCTGAATTTGGCTTCTTTTATATATTTCTAATTTATCAAATAAATCGTGAAATTTGTAGATATATTGTTGAGATAATTATTGTATACAGAATTTACTTTTTGATGGGATTAATTAATATATTAGAATTTAATTTTTGTTTGATTGATTTCGATATTAAATATTTTTGAAATCTGGCGCCATTCATATTTAGTATATTGTTGGGATGATTATCATATATAGAACTTGATTTTTGTACAATTGATTATAATTTATATAACGATAATGCAAAATTTTGTTCAAATTCAATTCAGGTTTGCTTGAACCCAATTTGGGTTCAATTTTGTTGGTCATATGAAGAACTCGATTTTTGTACGATTGATTATATTTTATACAAAATTTCAAGTTTGTTTGTTATATATAGAACTTGATTTTTGTATAATTGATTCTATTTTACAAATATAATGCAAACTTTCATTCATTGGTCATATGTAGAACCAATTTTTGTACGATTGATTATATTTTATGCAAAATTTCAAGTTCGGTTGTCATATGTAGAACTTGATTTTCATACGATTGATTCTATTTTCAAATATAATGCAAAATTTCAAGTTCATAAGTCCTAGACATTCTTAATCGGGTTTTGGTTGGGTATATCGACAGTTAGGAGAGAACTGCGACATCATTTTTCTCCTTCCATACCTTCACGATTTTCGAACAGTGCTTCAGGTCATTGTCCTCCTACAGAATCCAACTATTACAAGCTTTGCCAAAAAAGTCCACGGCAAAAGGTAGAAGAGCTGTTTTATACAGGGTGGTCATATATTGTGCATTAAGATTTCGTGTAAAGCAGACTAACCTTCCAAAGCCCAAAGAAGAAAAACATCCCCATACGTGAACCTTTAACAGATGCTTAATGGAACAGGTTATTTTCCTTGCTCCGATAAACTGCCAAGCCTTTTTTAATCATTGATTCAAGCGGAAAGTACTTTCATCAGTAAAAATTGCGGTGTTCCAATCAAAATCCTTATGTTCTTTGCCCATGAAAACCGTTTTTCTGATGCTTCTCTCCGAGCAATAGCTTCATGAGTTTTCTGTAATAGTGGGCCCACCTTCACCAAGGCGCCGTTGAATTGTACGCATGTGAATGTCTACATTCTGTTTAAGAAACTTATGGCAGATTTCTGGCACTAAAATATCTATATTCTATTTTGCTAGCTTCAAAATCTGGTTGTCTTGTCTTTGTGTCGTGGCTCTTTGGTGACCCGGCTTTGGTTTGTTGCTTAAGTCTTTGCTTTCTTGCAACCTTTTTGTCCATTCTTTTACTGTTTTTTCGTCACAGCAAACCTGCTTCACTGTCTCACAAAATGAGAGTTTGGGGCCCTTTGGGTAGCTAGTTAAAAAGGCAATTTCATATCGCTTATACAAAGGAAGAGACATTTTTTTGTTTGAATCTTGGCGTATAAGTAACGTAGACATTTTTACTATATACAGTGCCCAATGAAGTTTAGTATGATCTACTGTATATATGTGATGCACCTTGCTTGTATAAAATTTCAAGCTTTTACGCAAGAAATTTCAAAAATTACAGGTGCAGAAAAACTTTTGTCAGGCACTGTAGTCATGTGTAGAACTGATTTTTGTATGATTGATTCTATTTTACAAATATAATGCAAAATTTTATTTATTAGTCATATGTAGAGCTGATTTTTGTATAATTGATTTTATTTTACAAATATAATGCAAAATTTAGTTGGGGTATTATAGTTGATTCTTTTGCGATTGATTAGGATAAGATTTCATTTTATTCTAATCTAAATAAAAAAATATAAAATATATAAATCGCATAATTTTCATATATAAATTTGCTTTTATAAATTTTCACAATTGAATATCACTTGTATATTTCTAATTTGAGGTTTAAAAAATATATTGTAAAATTTCGGTAGTATATTGTTAGAGATAATTATTGTTGATTTTTGTACGATTGGTTAAATTTTTGTATCTAAACTGAATAAAATAAATAAATAAATTACAACTTAAATTACATAAATTTTGTATATAAGTCTTGTTATTGTAAGTTTTGAAAGTTATTCAATTTATATATTGAATTTATATATTGATAACTTGATTCAACAAAAACCAAACCAATAATGTCATCAAGAAAACATTCAATTTTGGCTTTATTAAATAAAGATGTAAATCAAGTACCAAATCAAGTACCAAATCAGCCAAAGTCAAAAACGAGAAGTAAGGTTATCTGCAATTGTGGTAATTGCAACAGGTTACTTGTCTATTATAGAACGAAGCTTCTTCATGAATATAAAGGCCAAAAATCACCACCAAAAAAACAAAGTTCAGATTTGTTTCTGTATAAACTTGATCTGTCATTACAAACAGAGCCCAAATTATTAGAAAGTCCTATTATTTCACAAGAACCAATTGAAATTCCTGAGGACAACTTTGACCTTTGTCTAAGAGTTAAAAATCCTGCATTGAATCGAACTATGTCTATTAATTTATCAGGTTTTTAATTTATTTTATTTTTTATATATTTTTATATTTTTATATTTTTATTAATTTTTATTTTTTTTTTTGAATATTATATTTTCTTTATTAAAGAGTCTGAGTACACTTCAGCAATAAATGAGATATCAGGTTTTTAATTTATTTTATTTTTTATATATTTTTATACTTTTATATTTTTATTAATTTTTTTTTTTTTGAATGTTATATTTTCTTCATTAAAGAGTTTGAGTACACTTCGGCAGTAAATGAAAATTTTGATGAATTACTTGAAGTGTATACTGAGGATGATGATCTTTCTGAGTCAAGTGAAAGCTTCAATAATATTAATACTACTTTCGATAATAATTCGGCTTCTAATTTCAAAAATTATTTGGCTCCCAACTTCGAAATACCATCAAGTCTTGACAAAACACTTACAGATGATCAAATTACCCATATATTATTATTTGTCATGAACTTCAAAAGGTGGTTTAATTTACTTGAAGTTGCAGTAGATGTGCTTTTAAAGTACATAAAATTATTATTAATCAAAATTGGTAGTGATGAATTCAGTAATTTTCCTTTGTCGAAACATAAAGTCAAAAAAGCACTTGGATTGTTAGATAATTTTGTTAATTTTGTGGCATGTTCTAAGTGTCATAAACTATATAATGAAAAAGAAGTGACTAGTTTTAAGCAGAACAACCAGTGTCAGTTATGAAATATTCCTATTTAGAATTTTTCAATTTAGCAGTTAGGTAATTTCTTTTTTATATTTACTTGTCATACATTTATATCTATTTATCTGTAATATTAATTTTACAAATTTATTGAAATTTAATTTTAACAATTTCTAGAAGAAGGATTTGCAACACCAATTTATCAACACATTTCAAGTTGTTAGATAGTAGTATAATAAACCGGCTGGAGTTAGTTTTTCCTTTTAGTTCAATTAGGTATCAATTGGCTAATATGTATAAACGTCTAGGTTTTGAAAATAATTTTCAATATTGGGTAAATAGATCGAATATTAACGATCTATTATGTGATATTTATGATAGTGATATTTGGAGAACTTTCAAAGATGAACTATTCGATGAAGTTCGGCACTATTTTTTTGTAGAAAAAAGCAGATTCTCATTTGGGCTTTGTGTTGAATCTTGACTGGTTTTAACCATTTGATGGTATATCACATAGCACTGGTGTAATGTATATATCTATTGCAAATTTGCTATGCGATATTCGATTTAAGCGTGAAAATATATTAATTTTAGGCATATTACCTGGGCCAGATGAAGTAAGTTTGTATAAAATTAACCATTATCTCTCTCCAGTTGTCGACAAATTAGAGTCTCTTTGGCATGGTATAGAATTAGATTCAACTGCCAAGAGTTCTGAAAGAAAAGTTATTTGTGCAGTATTAATATTAGTTTCATGTGACATTCCGGCTGCCCAAAAGTTGTGTGGACATATTTCAGCATTAGTGTCATGTCATCGTTGTGAAAAAAATATTAATTATATAGGTAGATAATTTAACTTCGGTGGCATGCAAAATATGAATGAGTGGTTTGTACAGAAAGATTCGGCAGTACATTGGCAAAGTGAACTTGAGTGGAGATATTGTAATTCTGATACAAAAAGAAAGATTTTTGTTAAAAGCCATAAATTTCAATGATCTGAATTAATTTGTCTAAATTATTTTGATCCAATTCGTCATATAATTGTTGACCTAATGCATTGCATTTTTCTGGGAACTTCTAAGTGGCTTGCTAAATGAATATGAACTGATGAAGGTGTATTAACGTCGAATATGCTTACGAAAGTACAGCATATGATGAATAAGTTCCAAGTACTATCAGATATCAGCAGAACTCCGAGTAAAGTGAATTGTGGAGAGGGGTTCTTAAATTTTACTGCCGATTAGTGGCGAAATTTTTTTACTATTTATGCTACTGTTATTCTTAGTGAACATCTTAGAGTGAAGATTGGCAAATTTTAATAAATTTTGTTAAAATTTGCCAGATATTAGTATGCCGAATTATAAGGCGGGACCTTATGAATGAGGCTCATGAAAGGTTAATTAAGTTAATAAAATTAATAGAGTAAATATGGGGCTGGAAAAATTACACCAAATCTTCATCTTTCATTACATTTATATAAATGTGCACAGGATTATGGGCCATTATACTCTTTTTGGTGTTTTTCATTTGAAAGAATGAATGGAATTTTAGGGTCTTTACTGAATAGTCATCGAAAAATAGTGTCTGAACTTATGTGAAGACTAATGACTGATAACCAAATTATCAGTTTGACTGCCTCCATACCTGAAATTGAGGGTGTAGAGTTACTAGAAAATCAATCTTTCTTCGGGTCTCTTTCAGAAACTAATAATTTTTCTTCTGATGAACTGCGTCGATTTTTATTGAATACATATAATATTTAAGAATCAAGTATTACTAGTTCTGAACGATTTCCTGATGAGTTCTTACCACCACAAAAAGAACATTTAATAATTTCAGATGAATTATTAAGTTTGCTGGTAGAATATTATACAGCAACTTATATGACAATGTACTTTAGAAAACCTTTCACTGCCGATTTTGAAGGTTCTGTCATTGTTCTAAATAGGACAGACAAATATAGAAGATGCCGAATAAGTTCTGAAATATTTGGTTCTAACATGTCTTCTTGCCATATAAAAAGTTTATTTGTTTTGGCTCAGTTTGTGAATCATAACAGAAGTGTTGATTTGTACTCCAGACAAGTCCAGTATTTTTTTAATCATGTTATAAATCTACCGAACGGACTTGTAGAACATAAATTGGCATATGTTAGGTAGTACAAACCTGTAAATTCGGCTGCAACTCATTTCTATTTTAGCGCTAATGAAACTTGTAATGTTGAACTTTGGGACCCTGAATTCTATCCAATTCAGCATGAGTGCATTATTCCTGTTCATAATATTTTTAGTTGGTTTATACCATACAAGTATAAAATTTCAAATCAGCAAAATTCTTGTGAATATTTGGCTGTAATTCCTATAAATAGAAAATTTAATATTTAAACCGACATCTAATACATATATATGTATGTAGAAAAAATTTTTAAGTTTTAATGTATAACATTTGTTGCATGATTTACTTTCTACTATATATATAATATATATTATTCTCATATATAGAGTTTGAAACCAGATTTTATTTTTAAATCCAGTTTTACATTAATTAATTATTTTCTGCTTCGCATTTAAATTCGAATTATTAAGTTGAATTTGAATTTATTCCAACAATTATATTAAAAAACATGACCTGCAGGTCAATAGCATAGCGGTTATGCTCCCAGGTTGCAAATCAGATGGTTGCTGGTTCAATTCCTCCCAGCGGCAAAATAATGAAAACCCAAATATAGAAGTGAAACACCGTGAGATACAGGGAACTCGGGACATCTATAGATGGACATATTTGGGGAATAGTTATTCCGAGAAGTTGTGGCTGTGAAGCGAGGCGTGTTAGAACCCCAATTTGGAATAACTGAAGTCATAAAACGTACTGTGAGGCCAAAGTCTGAGAAGATACTACAAGAACTCATGGTGCCACTAGATTGGCTGGTTAAATCCCAGTCTAATATTAAGGTGTTCGATTTCTCCGGAGTGTCGTGCAGGCGGTCGGATCTAGGCCCCAATGAGGGAACCAGAGAAATGGCAGGCAATGGATCCTAGGTAGATACACATGATTCCTGTATGGAAATTATAGAGGTCCTGTGACACTAGTAGTGTAGGGTCAACTATAAAGATAGCTAGACCAAGTCATGTCTAAACTTGCCGAAGTAATAAAAAAAAAAAAAAAAATTACATTAAAAAAAACAACATTCAGTGATAAAACATTCAACTACTTAAGGACAATTACATTTAAAAAAAATAACATTTTAAATCTGGGTTTACATTAATTAATTATTTTTTGCTTCGCATTTAAATCCAAATTATTAAGTTGAAATCTGAATTTATTCCAACAATTACATTCAAAAAAATATTAATTAATTATTTTCTGCTTTGCATTTAAATCTGAATTATTTAGGTCATTCACCACAACTCTTTTCGACAATCACTTAAACTAAAAATTCTCACTAACAGAAATACAAAATTTTTGTTGGAGAGTCATGGCTAATATAGTGGTTTGTCTAGAGGTTAATGTTTACTCTGCGGGACTCCTCTAAAAGATGTTTGGCATGCAAACCAGAAGCGTTACTATACAAGTTAACTGGTAAGGTAACAATAAACCCGGAGGTGGCACCTTTGTATATAAAATCTTGGTGGAGTGTAGGCAAAGTCCAACTTTGTCAACAAAGCTACTCAACTGTTAACAAAAAACACAGGGGATACAACAAAACTTTAGTTTTTTCAAGCTGCACTCTTTTACTTGGTTTAGTAGTTCTTCTCTTTACTTATTCTCATCTTCCTATCGGCCTTCCAAATTTTTTTGAAAAAGTGGGAGATTTGGCTTACCCCCCAAAAGATCGACATTGTTTACTTTCTAAATTCGGACAATCTAATGAATTGCAACCACATGTTTTACAGATACAGCGCTTTAAGATCGGGCTCCCAGCACAGAACCCTAATAATGGTAGCAGGTGGCTTGAGATACAGGTCTATAGATGGCGGCAGCACCTGGCTTGAGATATGAATTAGAGTAGGCATGACATAGTTATTTAGAGTCAGTCAGAAGGTTGGAAAGAAAAATCGAACGTTAAGATGAAGCTTTACAATAGAGATATACAAATATTGCATTTGTTATATAATTTTTATACTCACCTGGTACAGGTTATAATAGTGTATTTTCTTCTTCTTTTTCTTTCTTTAGGTGCGTCCATCAGGACTATTATATTCTTTTTTTTGCTTTTTTAATCTTTCTCCTATTATGTTAGAATTCTGTTTAAGATTTATTTTTTTTTGGTTGTCTTTTTTTCTTTTCTCTGTTTTTTCTCTTTTTTTTCCTAGATATAGTTTTTTTCTTTCGTATATATGGCATATTTGTTTTTTTTTATAGAAAAGTAAGAGATAATTATTCTGCCCGGATCTAGGTAGAAAAGGTTTTAAAGAAGGAATAGGTAGTCTTGATGGGCTAGCAGAAACCTTTCGGTGAAGTTTTATTTTCTTCAAGTGCAGGAGTAAATATTATGAAAGAGAATTCTGCTTATAGCAAATCGCACATGGGTAATTTGGGCAGGTGAGCTAATACTTGTAATTTAGGCATCATAAAGACTTGATCTTAGAGTCTCGTTTTTCAAAAATTTGTAATATTTCTCAGTATAATATTCCAGGCCTAATAAAGTAGAGACAAGATTGCCGAATTTTTTAAAAATAAAAATAAAAAAATCTGAATTATTAAGTTAAAATCCGAATTTATTCTAACAATTACATTCAAAAAAATAACATTCAGTAATAAAACATTTGACTACTTAAAGACAATTACATTTAAAAAAAATAACATTCAGTAATAAAATATTTGACTACTTAAGAATATGTAACAACTATTTTAGGTGGTCAAATACTTTTCCAAACTCTATTATGTTAAACCAGTTTTAATCAATTTTAACATGAAAATAAAACTGGGCTCCAAACTCTGCCTGAGTTTAATAATAAATTATAATAATTGTAACGAGTTTTATGCCAATATGGTGCCAATTGTTATATATATAATTCGTACATAAATTGGTAATTATATTAAAATCCAAATCACAGATTTTGGCATATACTAATTTGCGTACGATTTAAGATGTACAATGCTGATTTGCTTACGAAATTAATAGTGCTGAATTTTATTATTTCGACTAGTGTTGTTAGCCCTCGGGCTTTTCTCTTTGTTTTTCTTTTTTTACATTTCATTGTACGCTTTTTTTTTTTCCTTTAAAAATTCTCCTTCATTCTATTTGTTTATTTTTAGTTAGTTTTTTGTTTTGTTTTCTTGGTACTATTAGTGGCTTTGTATTAGATATAAAATCATCAATTTCTTTTGCTCTTGATAAAGAAAAAGAATATAAAGGAAAAAGCTTTGACAGGCTAACAAAGTTTATCTAACTTGTATACAGATTAGTGCGACAAGTTGCATATGGACATGTTTTATTGTAGCCAGGTGATGTCAGGCTTGCAATCGCAGAACTCCCTGTTATGGTTATAAATAATTTGTATTGTTTGAGAGAGTTTAACTCTTACCTAAAATATAGTTTCAAATAAAAGAGTACTGGCAAGACTTTCAAAGAATTAAAAAATAAGAAGACTAATTTAATTAATATTGATTATCTATATATTATTATAAAATAAGATGATATTAACTAGTTGTTATAGTCGTACTTTTTTATTTGGTGATCCACTAGTCAACCAGAGAATGATTATAGTAAAAAGTGACTCAGATTACTATATAAATTTATTATAGTGTGAATGTGGCGTGCATGCATCTAAAACTTTTTTTATACTAAGTTAATCACTTTTCTAACTTAAAAGTTTTAGATGTATACACACTACATTCACACTATAATAAATTTATATAGTAATCTAAGTCACTTTTTACTATAATCATTCTCTGGTTGATTGGTGGATTACTAATTATAATCACACTTTTAGAACCATAAGAACTTTTTTAAAAAAATATTCTTGTAAAGAGGTGTGCTTATATAGAGGTCTTTATTATATATTAGATAGTAATTGGGCAAAGATATAAGTGTGATTAAAAAGAGGTTTTTATATGATATAATTATATAGGGGTTATTATAAAGAGGTATAACTATATATAATTTAATAAATTTCTTGAAGATATTTTTTAAATATATTTAATTTATTTAGTTTGACTTAATATAAGCCAATATTTCTATTATTAATTAAATTTACTATTTTCACTAACCAATGATATTCTGATTATATGGGCTGCCATCAATAGAAATTAGACAAATCAACTTTTTAAAAAAAATCTATCCTCAACTTTCACAGCTTATATAGCGATGAATTTTGATATAATTGTGATGATTAAATATTCAAAAGAAAGCTTAGAACTTACTCTTTATTTTGAATATTAAATAATCAAGCTATCTTTCAAATTTATAGAGATATGAGATATGAAAGTTGAGATATAGATTTTTTTTTTAAATGTCAATCTGCCTAATTTTTATTAATAGCAGCCCATATAAATTACTAGATGATAATAATGTGACTAATTTAATTAACTTTGATCATCTTAATATTATTATAATATAAGATAATATTAACTGATTTTTTTATAATTTAATAAATTTCTTGAAGATATTTTTTAGATTTATTTAATTTATTTAGTTTGACTTAATATAAGCTGATATTTCTACAATTGATTAAATTTACAATTTTCACTAACCGATGATTTTCTGATCATATAAATTACTTGATAATAATTATGCAACTAAATTAATTATTATATATTATGGGCTGGTGCAAAAATGTAGATACACAAAAATTATTACCTAAAATGATGTTATGATGGAAAGTTGGACAATCACACTATATAGAGATAAAAATTGCAAAAAAGATAGCATAATCAATGAACTTTATTTAAGGTTGTTTTTTTTCTTTTTTTTATCAAAATGGATAATTGAAATGAGGCAAATACACACTAAGTCTTAATAAATGTAAGATAATTATTAGTACTCACTGATACTTTTTAGATTGTTAACAAGGCCAGAAGCAATGAGAAGACATGCCACTATGCAAGCTTGTAGCCACAGTGCTGGGGCCTCAGTTGTATGAGTAATTGCCGAATGAAACAATAGTAAGAATAAAGAATTAGCAAAATATAAACCACCTGGCTGCCCCAAAAAAGTAGCCAATCCAAATGCTGCAGAAGTTATATATAATATAGTTATATCTGCGAACACCTCTGGCACTCCTTTTTCTGCACTTGTTTTGTGAAAGAAGCATGAAGAAGAATGTCATTGCTAACAAATATGGGTGGGTACAATTTGTTTACACTCCTCATACCATTATAAGCTTCAACCAATTGAAGGGATTTGGGCTGTTGTAAATAGAGATGCTGATCGATCAAAATTTTTTTAATTTTCATAGGATCGATCATGAATAATCGATCATGCTCGGTTCTTTTTTTTTATATCTTTAGAATAGGGTAGTGTTCTGAATTAAATTTAATGATTAATGCATTTGATTTTTCTCATAATAGAACGTATTGATAAAATATTTAGTGAACAATAAGATTGAGTAATTAATTATTGTGTGATCAATCATCATCTCTAGTTGTAAAACAAGAAGTTGCTAAAGCCATCTCACATTCAAATCTTATTTCTATTCGAAACAAATTGTTAGAAATATTTACATAAAAGGTCAGTTCTAAAATTATTACAAATCATTGGCAAAAAACACTTACCAGGGCAAATGAATATAGGTATCACAATAATTATGTTTTTTTGGTCGAAAGTGATGTTGAAAATCTTAAAATTGAAGAAATTGTTTTCTAATAATTTTTTTTTTAATTTAAAAAGGTTAATAAAAATTGTATTTAAACGATCCTAAATAGTAAAACAATAAATAAATAAAAAAATACTCATGTTAATTTTTAAAAAATTTTTTTTACTATCACTATTTTCATGTATCTACATTTTTACACTGGCCTATATCTTAATATTATCAAGAATTGTGATAATTATCTTATAATTTAATAAATTTTTTTATGATATTTTACTGATGAAATTAATTTATCTTACAATCTCAACATATTTAACAACTTTTCATCAATACAAACAATATCTCAGAACTTTCTTTACAAATACTATTAATTATTTCTGGTACAGTTAGTTAACAACTATTTAATTAAGCACATTCTTTTCTTTATAAATATATACAATTTTTCTTTATAAATCTTTCTAATAATCTTCTTAATTGGTTTATAACTGAAATCTGGACTTCAAAAAATCAAACCCAATATAGTTGGAAACTCGCAAGAAATATAATACTAAAATCAAAATGTACAAAAACATACTTTCCTAGATTAACATCACATCAAAATACTACTACTATTTTTAACAACAATATTGACCAATATATTCAAAAATTACTTTTCCAAAACTTTACAATTTTCTCATATATTAATTAACTATATTATTTTTTAAAAAAATTTTTTTTTTTTACAAATCTTATAACTTTATTACTATTATATACCTGATTATCAATTTAACTTTTATTCAAATTTTACTAAGATTTGATATATTCAAAACTAAACTAAAATCTAAAACCCCTTATTACACAAACTCTTTACTTCAACTACTATCTACAATACTCATACTATCGCTAACTTCACTAAAACTTTCTGCATAACATGTTATTCTTAATTTTTTCAACCTTTGTGTAAATTTTTTTTTTAATCAAGAAAATAATTTAAAACATGACTATCTTGACCACTTTCTGAATCTTGTTCTGATGTCTAATTTCATATTCAGTCTTCTATTTCTTCCAACCTTTTTCTTATAGACTTCTCTTTATTTTGCAAACTATATAATTAATATCTTACTTAACCCTTGCAAAATATAAACCCTTTTACCAACCTATCTATATTAATAATACAAATACATACTTATCCATTCTTGAAAACTCAACTAACAAAAAATTATAGGGATAAATTTCCTTAGCCCACTCTTCTGAAATCTTACTAATATTCTTCACAACTTCAATTTGTGATAAAAGTATTTCTTCTTCTTGAGTTAAAGTTACTACTTTAGTCTGAAACAAATCTTCATTTTCTTTTGGAGGCAAATCTTCTATTTTTCTTGGAGGCAAACTTTTTTTAAAACTTCTTTTTAAGTGTGCTTTAAAATAACTTCATAAACTCATCTTTACTTGAAGTATAAACCAACTCTAAACAAAAATCTTAAATATATATGCCGAATAACACAAAATTTTCTGACAACTAATACAAAACCAAATTAAGCAATCTATTTAGTATATATTATCTAAAACAAATCTTTAAAAAATATACAAAAATGATTTTTATTATCCTGTTGGTTGTAGTACAGTGGTTAGAGCATATTGCACTGCAAGGCTATACGTTCAAACCTTCTGGTAGTATGTTAGAACAGGTGCACCAAGGTAGTATTACCTACTATAATATGGAAATATATATTTTTTCTTTCTTCTCTCACTTTAATTATTATTTATAGCTTTTTCTTATAACTTTTTATATATCATAGTTTAAATATATAGCACTACAGAGATAAATTCAATTTTTTTTCTTTCTCCTCTTACTATTTTTATTTTTATTTTTATTTTTTTTCTCTAACTTCAGTTTTTATTATTATTATTATATTTTTTACAGTATCTCTCTAGCCCTATTAAAACTATTTCAATCTAAATATATATATGCCTTACTATTTTATATTAAACAAGGTTTTCCCAGCCTTTTTTTAGCTAATAGTAGTTTCATTAACTTAAATTAGCTTTAAAACAGAAAATTGAAGGTGTAATGTCACATCAAATTAGATGTTTATAGAAAATATATCTGATTAACTATTATGTATTCATGTAATACTTTGTAAAAGTTATTCGCTTTTCTATATATGATATTAACATTAATAAAAAAAAAAGATTTGAATAATTGTCCAAAAGACATTATTGTTGAAGTATAGTAATTCTTATATTTGTATATATGTGTGCAAATTCTGGATTTTGATTGGTTGTATAATTACACTCTATAAATACCCAGTTTATTAGACTAATCTATGTAAAAATAATTGTACTATAAATATATATCAAACATTATAAAAAATTATTATCACCTGCTAAATCTATGAATGTGAATACTATATACTACTGCATGTACTACAAGAAATAGTGCTAAATATTTCTTTTCTCACTATTATTAAAAAATTCTGGCATTTTTTACTTTCTAATAAGAGTATATGCAATAATAAAATTTTCTTTGAGCTTTTAATAGTTCTTATTTATCTAGTAATTATTAAGATGTTATTATCTAAAGTTTAGATATAGTTTTTTGGTTTAATAATTTTCTAAATTTTTAAACTTTAAATGATGATGTTTTGATAACTAACTATTAAAAATTGTATTTTAATTCTATGAATTTATAAAATTAAAATAAAATTATTATTACTTTTTAATAAGTAGTAAATATCTTCTTTTAAATTTGAAAAAATTATATAATATTGTTATCAAGAATCTAAAAAAATTTTAATTTATTTATATGAATTTTAATTTCTATATAGAAAAATTAAATTGTAATTTAGTTAATATTCATAATGCTAGTGTAATTAAGAATAAAAATAAAATTCTAAAAAGAAAATAAATGTTGAATAAATTTCTACTACTTCTAAAAGAATAATATAAAATCAAAAAATTTTATTATAAAAATTTTATAAAATGTGTATATGTTATATAAAATAAGCATTTTATTCTATCAGTAGTTCTGTCTAAAAACTTTTTTGCAACCTGACATAAAAAAATTGAATTTATATATTTCATAACGAATATATAACTAATTTTATTAATTTATTCAAATTAGAACCTGATTATTAATTCTGAATAACCCTAGTTTAGGTGATTGAGAACACTGCCAAAAATAACCTGAGTCATTCTGATAATTCCAACAATCTGCAGTATTAAATTTTGTATAGTCAGATAACTTTCATTGCCAATAATCTAGCATTTGACGGATTTTACTCTAAAAGAATTGATTAGAATAAAAATATAATCTGCAATAAAAAACAGCCAAAAAATTCCAATATAGTATTTTTACAAAGTGCCTCTTTTTACTCAGATCAATTATTGGTTGCTTTTACTTTTATTGTAAAACTTCCGTTGCGCGATGACGTCGGGCAGCTATCTATTTATTAAATATGTTTGTTTACAATACGATGACATATTATGATGATATTTGGGGAAGCCGTCAATCAAAATGGTACATAGTGAGATCTAACAAATTGTTACACGATATGATAAAATAATAGGTCATTACTTTTTATTAATTAAATTAATACTGTATAGTTTTGATTAATCACTTGATTAGCGGTATAGTGACATCCCAATACGTCGCAATGGTTACAATTGCTAGATTCGTGTAATAAACGAAACTATATTATATACACGTACAGTATTTGACTATTTAAGAACCTTTTCATTGAATAATAATAAATAATAGTGAAACAGAGGAACTACGTACAATATTTTGTAACAATAAATGAGAATTAGCCAATGGCATCGTATTAGATAATGCGACCAATCATTTTGAATACTAATACAATCTGATGTAATATAAATACTGATTTCAGTATCCCAATTTTAGTTATAGTTTGCATTGTTGAGGCGTAACAAAAACAAATACGTGTCCACAATTTCAAATGCAAGGTGCCCTGCATAATTATAAATTTGATTCTGTACTCTGTTGCACATATATTTTTTGAGCAAATTTTTGATCTTGAAATATGAGTATATACTAAATTGAATGTCCTATTCCAATTCCTAAAATTCTTGTTCCGCGGTCAAAATTATTGACTATACGGAAATTGTGCTCTGGTAATGAGACGTATTTGAAACAAGTCAAGCTAAACTTATTATAATACAGGATTTGTTAACCAAATTCGTAATATTACACTAAATTTGATTTTGATCTATCATTGATATCTCATGATTCAGTGATCCAGTTTTGATTATTTTAGTATCATTCGTATCCTCACATCAAAACGGTTCGAATGGTACTAAAATTATCAAATTTCAATCACTGAATCACAAGATAACACTGATAGATCGAAATCATTATGAGTTTGATTATTGTTTATGAAACAATATAAAAAGTGGATAACAAAGCCTAGCTAAACTAACAAATGTAATGCCTTACCTGCTCCCTTTCCAAGATGTTATCTCTCATATAAAATATTAAAATATTTTTTTTACGATAAAATCCATTAGTTCATTAAATA